AGTTGAGCCACCTGAATGCCTGTGCTTAGGAGACACTGGAGAGGTTTGCACTCGTGTCCGGAGGAGGCCTGTGGAGCTGGCATGGGTGGGAGGGCAGGCAAGTGAGGTGTGCAGAGCGTTGGGCGTGCCCATGGGCCACCGGGAGTGTCCGCAGGCACCATGTCCCAAGTGGCTGAAATGCAGGCTTCCTGGTGGAGTCCCCCAGGAGTTAGTTGGGTCTGCAACCATTTGTTGAGTTTTGAACCCTGGTTGCTGTGTGTCCTTGTAACTCGTCCCTGCTCCCAGCCTTCCCGCCACTCCGCTGTGTTGATCCCTTTGGCATTCTTAGTGAGATGAGAAATCCGTGAGCCTCTGGGGCAGCATCCCACACCACTGGCGCCAAGTGCTCAGTCACTACGCTCTCACTTTCCCCGTGTGGGGGGAATCCTGGGCTGAGGGGGGTGTCTTGATGATAAGCTGTGCCACCTTTGGGGAGGGGCAATGCAGGTAAAGTGGAACTCTTCTTCTTACTCTGACCGTAGTGTCTAGTCTCAGACATTTTGCTCCAGTGGCCTGCAGGAATTTCTTCACTGAACCCCCTGACTTCCACAAAAGTTCTCACATCTTTGGCTGCTTGTTAAAATCGGTGCACTGTGCGGAGATGACGGTACAAAACTCTTATTCCACCATCGTGCTTACTACGTCACTGTGTCATTGATCAATGTTTTATTTAGAAGTGTGTTCTTTAATCTCCAAGTATTTGGGTGGTTTTCCAACTATCATTCTTTTATTGATTTCTAGATTAATACTGCTGTGGTCTGCAAGCATATCACATATGATTTCTCTTGTTTTCAAATTTGTCGAGGTGTATTATGTATCCCAGAGTGTGGACTGTTGTGGTGAATGTTTCGTGTGAATCTAAGAAGAATGTATTCTGTTGTGTTTGGATAGATTATTGCATGGATTTCACTTAAAATCTCGTTTGATGGTGCTGTTTAATTTAACTATGTCCTTCCTGATTTTCTGCCTGCGGGACCTCTTAATTACTAATTGGGGCTGGTGTTGAAGTCTCCAACTCTATAATAGTGAATTGATACTCCTTGCAGTACTGAGTTTTTCCTCATGTTTTTTGCCCCCGTGTTGTTATGCACATGCGCACTGAGTATTGCTGTGTCCTCTTGGAGAACTGACCCCTTTTTCATTACATAATATCCCCGTTTATCACTTGAATTTTCCTTTTCTGACACCAACTTTGTCTGAAATTAGTATAGCTATGCCAACTTTCTTTTGTTTAGTGTTGGCTAAACAATCATTCTTTACTTTTAATCTCTGGCTTTATTTCTAATCTGTGATTCTTGTAGACAGCATATAATTGTTTTATTATTTGCCGTGAAAGTTGTTGTCTTTCCCTTATTTAGACCATTGACTTTTAAAGTGATTATTGATATAGTTGGATCAATATCTACTATATCTTTTACTGTTTTCTATTTGTTGCCTTGTTCTTTGTTTCTCTTTTGTCTTTTCTTTTGCTTTCTCTGACTCGTATTGAGCATTTTTCCTGATTCCATTTTTTTCTCCTCTCAGCATATCGATAATAACTTTTTTTAGCAGTCAGGCTTGAGTTTGCAGTAAACATTTACAACTAACCCGGTTCTCTCTGAAGTAACACTATACCTCTCTACTGGACGTGCAGGGCCTCATAATAGAGTATTTCCAATTCCTCCTTCCTTGTCCTTAGTAACATTACCATCATTCATTTCACTTAATCTATAAACTCTGATTATTTAATATGTTGTTGCTATTACTATTTTAACAAAGTGTTCTCTCTCAGATTAAATAAAAATAAGTTGTTTTATTTTACTTTCACTTATTCCATCTCTAATGCTCTATGTTTATCATTTACCTTCTTCCTAAGAAATTTCTTTTAACATTTTTTGCAAATCAGGTGTCTTGATGACAAATTCTCTCATTTTTGTTTGTCTCAGTAGGTCTTTATTTCTCCCTCACTTTTGAAGAAATTTTGCTCAACACAGAATTCTAGTTGGGTGGTTCTTTCAACACTTTAACTATTTTACAAAACTCTCTAACCAATCACTTGGTTTCCGCGAACAAAGGCCATAGTATCCTTGTCTCACTATAACTGTTTTCTCCTCCTAGCTTCGTTAAAGACTTAGTTTTGTCTTTGATTTTCTCTAGTTTGAATATCATATTGCTGTGCTTTTTTGGATTATCTTGTTTGGTGATGTCTGAGCTTCCTGGATTTGTAGTTTGGTGTCTATCATTAATTTGGGGAAAATCTCAGTCCTCATTGCTTCACTTATTTTTTCTGTTCATAGAAATTATAGCTTATAGGTTAATTGAAATGAATGACAGCAATGTTATAAGGGACAGGGAGGAAGGAATTGTTCCTTTTTTTCTTTTCCTTCATGTGTTCCCACTATGTATATGTTGCACCTTTTGTAATTGTCCCAAAGTTCTTGGATTTCTGTTCCGTCTTTTTGATTCTGTAACTGTCAGCATTTCTATTTTGGAAAGTTGTTATTGCCATCTCCCCAGGCTTGCTGATTCTCTTCTCACACATTTCTACTGTATTGATAATCCCCCCGAAGGAATTGCTAATTTCTGTTTTGTTGTTTTGTTTTTTATTTCTTGTATTTCCCGTTTGAATTTTTTTAGGGTTTCCATCTCTGCTGATGTTACCCCTCTGTTCTTGCATGTTGTCCACTATTTTCATTAGCGCATCAGCCATGGTTGCTTTACATTTCTGGTCTGGTAATCCAGCATATCTGCTACATCTGAATTATGTTCTTTTGCTTGTCCTATCTCTTCAAACTGTGTTTTTACTTCTTTTAGCATGTCTTTGTTGTGTCCAGAATAACCAGACCCAACCTGAGTGCTCTTAACCAGGAGACAGTTTATTAGCCGGCGGCTGTCCTTGCAAAGGAGCAGCCCCGAATTGCCAAGATACAAGGTTTTTAAGCCCCAAATCCCATTCCTCATTCTGTCTTAAACACAAAGGTCCATCTTTCTCCTATTCACTACCTGTCAACCCACTGGTCAGGTGTGCAAGCGGGAAGTACAGAAGCAGAAAGCTTGTTGTTAGAATGTTATGTTCCTATGGGTGATTGCCTATGTTCCCATGGGCAATAGCCAGTGTTCCCATGGGCGATGGCCAAACAGTAATTTTCAGCTTATATACAATTGATTACTTTTCATGCCACGCAAGCAAGCAGGGTTACACAGGCTAAAATTGGCAGTTAGCGTATGAGCTCATTGTTACAAGTTTCATGATTAACAGAATGTGGTTAGGGGTTCCAGAAACTAGGCCTAAGTTATAGACTTCCTTTGTCCAGTTTCAGGTTTTAATTATTCTTTAACCCTTTCACATTTCAGCGGGCTATTACAGTCTTTTAATTTTTTTGTTGAATGCCAGATACAATGTGTGGTGAAAAGGGAATTGAGGTTAATAAGCCTTTAGTGTGAGGTTTTATGTTTATCTGACTAGGGTTTAGGCTGTGTTTACTACTTGCTGTGACTGTCAGAGGCTAAAATATCCTCAGGTGTCCCCGGTTTTTGTCTCCCATGTCATCTTTAGGGTTCTACAGAGTCTTCTTAAATAAGTGCTGAAACTGCAGTTCTTCCGGTGTCTTCCACTGCTATTCAACAGCAGTGTTCTGGTGTAGTGCTGTGTCGTGGGTGGAGGGGAAGTGTTCTGTACTCCTATGATTTGGTCTCAGTATTTAAATGAACCTGTGTTCCGACCTGGGACTTTCTGTGGTATAATAAGAAAAATGTTAGATCCTTGTCCATGGTTCCTAGCAAAGACCTCCTAAAGCCCTTGGACTTTCTGAGTGATAAGGTGATGGGAGCATCTTATGTTCTAATGAGTAGATTGTTTGCAGGCCCTTCAGTGGCTTCAGGATGGGGGTTGATTACTAGGAGGACCTAGCTTTGATTACAGGCTTAGAAATTTTAGTCCAAGCCCCCTGCCTCTGGGGAAGGGAGAGGGTCAGTGATTTCATAAGTCATGTCTAGGTGAGGAAACTCCACCCAAACCCCTAAATCTCAGGATTCAGAGGGATCTAAATTGGTGAACACATCAATGTACTAGGAGGGTGTTGTGCCTGGAGTGGACGTGGAAGGTCCTACCCTCCCTCCCCCACCTGGAGGTCAATACTGAATTCCAACAGACACACAGGAGCCAGAGCAGTCTAGTCAGAGCTGGCTCGCAGATATTAACAGGCTAACTGCCCTGTCTCTTACTCTCCAGCCCAAGATTTTTTCTTGTCAGCCGTTTACATTTTAAAGTTTTCCAGACAGAGGCAAAAACTAATCTAAATTAAATTCCTTTCCAGTGTAAAATGGACATCTGAGAATGTAATGAACACATCTCACCCCCTGGGGTTAGACTGAGAAGAGTCCCTGAGTCCAGGCTGGGGCTGCGGGTTCCACCTTCCCACCAGAGGCAAGTGCTTGGAATACTTTCTCTCAAAGACCGCATGAGTGGGGGTGGGGCAGGAGTGGGTGGAAGGCTCGAGGCTGGGAAGCATCAATGTTTGAAATGAAACCAGACTCTGTTAAAGATGGTGCAGTCACATTTCAGTGTCTGTTTCTAAACAAGGGTCACAGTTCCATGAGTGGCCTGACAGCCTTTCACCAAACCCTTGATCTGTAGAGGACGACATAAGACTGTCTTCTTACAGTGTGGCCTGGCTTGGGCCACCCTCACGCTCTGCCCTTCTTGCTCCATTTGGAACTTCAGTCAGGACTTTCCTGTGCTCACCTGTCCCCATGTGTTCACAAAGAGGCCGTCGATTACATTACAGTCAGCCCTAGGCCAGGAAAAAGTTCAGCTTAAAGTTAAACGTGCGGGGGAAAAGACAGGTGCCCCTCAGAGGCGGAAGCTGGTTCGGCTCAGCCCCGCGTACTCCCACCTGATGTCAATCAGGCAGGAGGAGCGTGTGCATGGATTTCTGTCCAATCGGGGGCGCCGCTGGGGCAGGTGGGTGGGGCGATGCACCTCCTAGGCGTTTGAATCCCAGCTCCTCTCCAGAGAAGTAGGAGAGGGGAGGAGTCGCTTTCCTTTCACGGTCGCTGGTGAATCTTCCCGCGTGTGTGCCGCTGTGATCTGCACTGGTCGTGGAAGTCGTAGGCAGGATTTGGAGACTCAGGAAACCTAAATATGGTGATTGTGCAGGACTGGGTGCGGGGACGGGGACAAGGGGACGGGGACAAGCTGGTTGGAACCGGCTGGAACTGGCAGCGGCGGGATCGACCACTCCGCGGTCGCCAACGGAGTCTGCGGACCCGAGTCCGTTGAGGTCTCTATCAGAACCTCAGTCGCCACCGGCACACAGCGTGGGGAGTGGGCGGGCAGCCAGGACCCCGGGCGTCCTGTCTCGTCACTGTGCGAAGCGACTTCAGTCCCGGGTCAGAGCTCTGGGCAGCTCTGCGCCCGCAGCCCCACGTCTCCCCAGATCTGATGGTGCTGTGACTGCGCGGAGGGTCATCCGAGGAGAGTCGTTACTTGGTAACCGGGGTTCGTGCGTAGGAGAAGCTGTGGTCCCCATTCCCACTTACTCCCCAAGGGGGGTCTGTTTTCTCCTGAGTTTTTCAAACGTTTGGGTCACAGCGGTTCAAATCCACGACCCTGTCCCCCAGCTTATCTCCGCCTAGGGCTGGCAATAAATTCCTAAATTTCCAGATCCCTCTAGGCATTCCCGTAGCCAAATATCCGTCTTTGAGTCACAGCATCGTTATCAACTATTTATCCGCTGAGGTGCATTTTGAAGAGACCCAGTAGCTACAGAATAATGGAATGCTCTTTATTATTATTTTTTAAAGATTTATATTTGTCTATGGATGTTTTACATGAGAGGAAAGCAGAGGATAACCACCTGGAATTAGCTGTATGAAATCCCCGTTCCCCTCCCCCAGGACTTCCCCTGGCACAGGCGTCCTGTGGGAAGTCCTTTGGGCGGAGGCTCCTCTTGGAAAACTTTCCTGGGTGTTCTGTCCTGTCAGCATTGCCCCTCCCTGGGTTTGTCACCTGAAAACACTTTCCTGCTTATTTGTTTTTCTATAGGAGTAAAGTGTATTTAATCAGTAGTTTGAAAGACAGTGTAAAATAGTTCCAAACAGGGACGAAAGAGTTAATTCAGAAAAAAATTTAAAAAAATTCCAGCATTGCATTCCATTTGTATAGAATTCTTATTTCACTCTTTTTTAAAGGCCTACAACACCGGGTCTTCCTAGGTGGTCTCCCATCCAAGTACTAACCAGGCCCACCCTACTTAAGTTCTGAGATTTCTTTCACTCCTTTTTCTCTGAGCATGCGTAGTAAGTTTCTGAGGTTTGTTTTATTCGGGGTGCTTTAAAATGCAATTCTGGGGTTAGCCTTGCAGAGTAGAATGGTTCAAGTAGATTCATGAGAAAAGCTACAGCCCTGGAAATGGGGACACAAGTGCACAGGGCTGGGTGGCCGTGGTGCGGATGCCCTTTCTGGGGTGGGTTCAGCTCCTTAGGCCTAGACATTTTTAGATTTTTTTTTCTTAATTTATTTTTTTATGGCGACGTTGGTTAATGAAATCCAATAAGTTTCAGCTGTACATTTTAACAGTAAGGCATATATATATATATATTTACACTGTGTGTTCACTTGCCATAGTTAGATTTTTCTGTCACCACATATTTGACACCTTTTACCCCGTCTACCTCCTCCTTCCCCTCTGGTACCGCTAGTCTATTGTCCATGTCAATTTTAGATTTTATGTTGAGTTTTGCATTCAGTGTGTAGTTTGTGCGCATTGAGAAAGTCTGTGACGATCAGGGGATCTGTCTCGTGGACAAAAGGTTTATGAATTGGGGAGCTCATTTGGATCAGAACTCAAACTGAATCAGGCTGAGTTTCTTCACTGTGAGAATGGAAGCCTGGGGGAGGGCGCGCTTCCCTGCTTACAGGAGGGCAAAGGGGTTTGGAGCTCTTAGAGTTCATTCCTGGGGCTGCTCAGGTGTCCCTCCCTTCCTTCCCCTGGGACTGACCCACTTCAGGTGTTCTGTCTCAGCCTGAGGTGAGACCCCAAGGTTGAAGTTATGTTACATTTTTTGACTGGTTTAACTTCTGAACTATAGATAGGGGAGCAGGCTGCTTTGTCTTGATTCTAGTATTTGTGTTTCTTTTCTTTGGATTTCTTTCTCTCTTGAATATTGCAGCCCTTTGATTGTAGTTTCCATTAGCTCTCGGGCTTTTAATATATAAGTTGATCAAGAGATACCCTGTGAGTGTGGCAAGATAATTGTGGAACCAAATAGAATTTTGGTTCCATTTAGCAAGAGGAACTTAAGATATAAGACGGATGTTTTAAATTAATTAAAAATAATGATTAAGCTTAGGAAAATATGGTATATATAAATTTCTTTTTTTTTGTTTTAAACAATAGTGGATTGGAAGGTTAATTAAATTCCTGAGGGAAGGAACTAAGTGAAGACTACTACTCCCTGCCAGCATATCCTGCTCCACTCCTGTGTTTTTACCTCATTCACCCTCAAATAACCAATTTTAATCAGCTGTAGATCATCCTGTGTGTGTGTGTGTGTGTGTGTATGTGTATGTGTGTATGTATGTATGTAAACAAACCAGTGCAAATGCTCGTTTTTCTTACTATTATTGTCATGAGTAAATCCACGGTTTTGATTTTTGACTCCTGACAACTTA